ATGCCGGTGCGACCAACGGGCCTGTAGCTCAGTTGCTAAACCCATGGACTGCTGAAATACAGACCCAAGTTCGAACCCAGATGCAAATCAGTTGAACAGAAAGAAAGGGGAGATGGTGGGACCAGGAATGTTTGGTGTTCCTAGGGGAGGCACTTCCGAGTCCCGGCAAGAGCAACAATGGTAGGAAATTCGCATGTGGACTGCTGGGCGAACAAGTCTTGTATTCGGATCAGAAGAGATATGGCCATTGGCCTTGGATCCCCCGGAATGGGACTGGGATCGTCAGGGCTGCAGACACAGGCCTAGAAATAATGTGTAGCAGTAGCCAGCCCCTTCGGATGTTAGGTCGATGCGTCTTAAGAAAGGTATAAAGTGCGAAAAAGCGAAGGTCTATGTGAAAAATCAGCAGTAGAAACCAGATGGACAAGGTACCTAAACATAAGACAAAACCCCCCCTGTCAGGCATCAGATGGCTTGGCCAATTGAAGGAAGTCTGTCTTTGGCTCGATGACGTGCCGGGTTCATCATGCTTTGGCAGATGCCTTCTGTCAGTAGAGCAGATAACCTCCTCGACTCCATCCGGAATTGTTTCTTTTACCGCAAAGGATTGTGTTTGTTTTCCCTTGATGCATGGCATGTGAACACTGAAATGTCATTTTCCTCCCTCCACGCATTGTAGAGAGACGGTTGAGCACACCTTTCTAGCATATCCCAGGGTCCTTCGGCCTTAAATGTCAATTAAGAGAGGCCTCTGCTTCGGCGGTGCATGTTGTATCACAACAATTTTTCCATGGTAATTCAAGTCCTAGCAGCACGTCCCAGTGCTCTACCAATCTCCTTTCCTCCTCCTCCTCTTCTTCTTCTTCTTCTTCTTCTTCTTCTTCTTCTTCTTCTTCTTCTTCTTCTTCTTCTCTTTCTTTGTTCCTAGTCTCTCGTCATCTAAGTCTTATCCGACTTACGAGTCAACTGGAGTTGTGGAGTATGGCGATGTCGCAAAAAGTTAAAGAGTCTTGAGTCTTGACATTGTGAATTCAGGAGGATCAGAGCATCATCCCACATATTCTGACTGACCAGGGTGGAGGCTGAATGCATGGATGAAATGAACTGCAGTGGACGGCCGGGATTGATGCTGCCAAGCCTCAGCCTCGGCCGGTTGCAGCTTTGCTTGCGCTCATTGAAGACATCCCAACTCAGGTGCCCAGCCAGACCTGGGGAGACAAATCTGACTGTGGGAAGATTTTTTTCCCAGCCTGAATCTGACCCACCACGGGCCTTTGATCAACTTTATTAAACCACCAGTACTTCCTAAAGTTGTGCCCGTTAACGCTACGCGATTTTAGGAAACGTACGGGCCACTACAGGAGCGCCCAAATTCATCCAACTGGAAACGTTTCTACTCTATTTTTTTCCACGGCCGATAGCTGGGCGAAGTACTGGTGGTTTAATTGCGTTCACGTTTGCTTTCTTTGAACACAGGTGCCCAGCCAGACCTGGTCAGATTCAGGCTGGGAAAAAAATATTCCCACAGTCAGATTTGTCTGCGCAGGTCTGGTTGGGCATGACTGTCGACTTTTTTTTTTTTCTCGTGACCATGGGCTTGCTGGTTCCCAAGTTTTCTGAAGGGCGGTAGACCCCCAGGGCCCAGATCAGGCCCAAATCGGCCCCAGATCGGGCGCAGATCAGTAGCTTATGGCAGTTACGGGGGGGGTACGGCCTCTTTGAGACTGACGGCGAACCTTGACACGGACCTTTGGAACGGAGTACCAACCTTGAGATGCACCTTATCGGTTCGTCGTAGAACTGGTTGAACAAAATCGCTTTTACCACAGCCGAAAATCGCTTTTACCACAGCCGAAAATCGCTTTTACCACAGCCGAGGAGGGTCAGACCCCACTGACATAGCACCAGTGGGATTTGGCCCAACCTTATTTACGTGACCTTGGTGGTGTCCGGCCCGATAATTTTTTTCTACCCTTTCGAACCAAGGCTGAATCGGTGGTGCATCCGTTGAGGAGCTAGGGTGTTCCCACCTTGCTTTTCCATGCCTATAGCAGAGGCACAGCTGCGGCATCACATGTTTCATTTCTCACTTTTTTCGATTGTCATCGTCATCTCCGTCTTTCAGTCAACAATCGCTGTTTCCTGACACTTCCGAATCAAGGCTGAATCATTGCATCTGTTAAAGGGGCTACCGTCTTCCCCCGAATATAACGTACGGTCATTATAGCAGTATTTAGACTGAAAGACACCCCAAATACAGCTATAATGACCGGATGTTGTATTGGGGGGAAGAAGGTAGGGTGTTTCCACCTTCCTTTTCCATCGTTATAGCACAGGCACAGCTGCGTCTCAGGGTTCATTTTTTGACTTGTTTTAAGCAATTTTGTCAAAACGGACATTTTTTTTTACTTTTTGAACGAAATCGAAACCGACGAATTTGGACCGAATCCGCCCGATGAGCCAGGTCAAAATTTTGACGAAATTGAGGCCTTTAATCAACTAGACTCCAGGTAAGTCCAGATGCATCCAGGGGGTCCGGCATTCTTAAACCATTACTAGGCTAGTACACGGCCCCAGCCGTGCAGTCCAAAAACTTGTCGCCGCAAGAAAACGAGGCTGAAATGTCGAACGTAGGGCCTGCCATTGATAAATAGTATGGGCGGTCCCTTTTACGTTCCACGCTTCCGATATTCGAGGTGTCAGGCCCGCAGCCCAGGTAGCCGTGTACTAGTGCCTTAAAATGCTGGACCCCCTGGACTCCAGCTAAGTCCAGATACATCCAGGGGGTCCAGCATTTTAAGAATGCCAGAACCCTCATGAGCCGAAAATTTTGACCTGAATCGGACGAATCTGGGCCAATTTAGTCAACGGTTTCATTTTCGTTCAAAAAATAAAAAAATGTCCGCTTTGAGGAAATTGCTGTTTAAAGTTTAAACTTAAAACGCCTTTCGATTGTCATCTCCGTCTTTGGGCCCAGATTGCCGTCTCCTGACCCACTTCCTGGGCTCATTCCCATCTCATTCACATCTGCAGGCCAGGAGCTAGGATGGTTCCACCTTGCCCTTCCATCCCCATATTAGCAAGGGGGAGATGCATCTATTGGTCCCCTTCTTCCCACTTTAAATTTAAGTACCATCGCCATCTTTCATCCACGGTCTCTCTGAGCTCTTTTCCATCTGTCATATAGGTGTGTGGTCCTGCCCCAATTGCTGGATGCTTCTCTATATCTGACCCAGGCAGAAAGTCCCTAGTGCCAGTTGCTGGGCCCATCTTTCGCTCTGGTCCCGGTTTGGAGTCCCTCTTCGGTAGCCCTTATGCTTTTGCCTGTGGCTGCTCTCTGCTCCTCTCCTTAGTGCCTGTTTGGTTATCACTTCACTTCACTTCAACCCCTCTTCCAGGGCACTAGGGAGAATCTTCACTTCCTCTCCTTAGTGCCTGTTTGGTCATCACTCCACTTCACTATGCAGCATTACAACGTATGTGATGGTCAATCACGAGGCAATCAACACCGGTGGATGATGTTGATGCAGTCAATCTTCTCCCTTCAAGCACTCGGAGGATTCTCTTAGAAAGTGCTGCATGGGCAAACACAAAGCCAAAAGGGTGGAAAAGTGTCAGTCAATCCTTCTCAAATGCCACACTGCCACCGCGAAAAGAAGGGCGCGAGGACAAGAAGCAGCACAAGAAAGGCCTTTGTGAGACAGTCACCAGAACAAATAACAACAGACAACAACCACCACGAACAACCACAATGACTCAAGACTCTTGTCCTGATATCCTCCAATTTCATTTGTGTATGGGACGCTGGACCTGCTTTCCAGCAGGTGATGCTCCCCACCAATAGATGGAGCCTCTCCCCAGGTGCCGGCGGCGTCTGCTCTTTCCAGCACTACTAACACTGGAGGGGCGAACAACCACCACGACAACAACCAACAACTACAACCACAACCACAACCATCATAACCACAACCACCACCACCACAACCGCCACAAACGGCAACCACCACACTCACCACGCTCACGACAAATTCTACAAGCACAACCACAACCACAGCCACAACTACGACAACCACCACAACAACCACCACCATCACAACCACCACAACCAACACTAACACCACCATCACCACCACAACGACAACAGCAACAACAACAGCAACGACAACAGCAGCGACATTAGCAATGACAACAGCAACAACAACAACAATGACAACTACTATCACAATGAGAATAACAACCACAACACAACATAAAGGACAAGAGTGATGACAACGACAACGACAACAACGACGACGACGGCAACAGCACCGATTACAACAACAGAAAAGATAACAACAATAACAACAAGGACAACAACAGCAACAACTGACAATGACAACAGCTATTAGTACGGCAACGATGATGACAACAGCTATTAGTACGGTAACGATGATGACAACAACAACATCAATGATGATGAGACCCTAAACTCGAGAAGGACGTCATTCAAAACTGCTGCCACAGAAAAAACTCAACAACAGCAACCTGTCTCTTATACACATCTAGATGTGTATAAGAGACAGGAGGGAAGGGGGAGGGGGGTTGGTTTGGATTGTGTAATGAGACGTAAGACTTCAATATGATGGCGAGGTGAATGGGGCCCGCCATTAAGGGAGACAAGTGTATCTCTAGTTGATGGGTGAAGTGGAGGGGAGGGGTTGGCGTGAGGAGAGTGCATAATATCATGTGAGATGCAAGGAGGAGGCTTGAGGTTAGGTGGGGTGCAAAGCGAACGCTGATAAGGGTGGGGAAGATTCATGAGCTGAAGATGAACATGTTCATTTGTGGGTTCTGTGTAGTTGTTTTGTTTTGTTTTGTTTTGTTTGCCCTTTCTTTGGTTTGAAATTTGAATGACGTGTTCGTTTATGGGTTGTGCTGTTGTTCCTTTTTCTTTTTCTTTTTCTTTTTTCCTGGTTCTGAAAATCCTGAATGCCATGTTCGCTTGTGGGGTTCTTCTTCAGGTGTCTGTACAGGGTCGTCATCGATGTCATGCTGGGCGAGGTCGGTAGTTCTGTTCAGCGCGCTTTTCAATGTCGTCCTGGGCACAATGGCCGTGCTCCTGTGGCCTAGCTCTCAAAAATGGTACCTGGGACTGCTGGTTGGTGTTTATGTCACCACTAACGCCATTCCGTTATTACTTGTGTGTTCGAGCGATATCCATGTCGATAAAGGAGACGAAAGTGCGGAGGATCCGAGAAACCAGGACCAGTCGATGGCTCCGGACACTGCCTTATCTCCAGTATAGAAACAATGTCTCTGCCATAACTGTAGCATGTTTTCATGTTGTTGTCACCACTCTTTATCTTCTCCATTTCTCCAAAGTAGGATGTCGCCCTCGCCCTCGGCCGCCCCTCTGCGCCCCCCCCCCCCCCCCCCCCTCTCCCAAAAAAAACACCGATGCTCTCCCCTTCCTCTCCCTTCTCTTCCCCCGCCTCTTTCTCCGCTTCGTCGGTACCTTCATCCAGTCTTTTGCCCCCCCCCCCCACTCCCAGGCCCCCCCCCCCCCCCCCCCCCCACACACACACACAATATAACAGTGGGTTAAGGGGATAGTTTGGTGTTCTCTTAACAACTCACTCACTCACCCACCAAACATACGTGCTGCCTTAGCGTAGGTTGTTGTTACACTGCCAAAGCTACTCTGCCTCCTCCTTGGAGATTTCCTCAATCTCGGTTCCAGCGATCGTCGTTGGCGCAACCCTTCGTGCCCCGCCCTTTTGCCTCCCCGCCTCCCGCCTCCCGCCTCCCTCCTCCCCCTTCCCCCTTCCCCCTGCTCCTCATCCCATTCTTCTTCCCCCCTCTTCTTGTATTTCCTCCTTCTGGTTATGTAGGTAGGTGCCTAGGTCAACATTGGTAAGAACCCCCAAGCTTCTTCTTGTATTTTTTTTGCGGATCAATCTCAGGGGCGCAGTTGGGAAGTCTCAAAGATTGCTTCAAGGGACAGGCTGAGCATCAGATACTTGGTGGAGTGCTTTTTGTCTTGCGTAAGGGGCGCAGTTGGCAGTCTCAGAGATCGCTTCCAGGATGGACCGAGCATCATAAACTTGGATGGAGTGCTTTTTCGTCCTGCGTACGCGATGACGTCGACTGCACAACGACGTTTGGGAATGCCTTTGTAACATCTACTCCGTTTCGTCTCTTTTCCCTTGCAACGGCTGGACGTGTAGCGTCAGTGGGCGGCAGCGGAGGCAGATCTGCAGACTTGCTGTACAGGGTGGGTCTCTGGAAGGCCCAAGGGTTTAGCGGCCCGCGTCGGTAAGCGTGTCTGGAACGCGCAAGGTTGTCGTTGTATGCTGAGGGGGAGACGTTTTTTTCCCGGCTCGAGGGTAGTTTTGTTTGCAGTTCGGGATTATTATTATTGCCTTATGTGGGTTTCGGGGGTTGTTTTTTTTCCTGGTTTTCCCCCTGATCAAGGGGTAGCAAAGAGGGTTGTTGTCGGGGCGGGGGGTTTAGAAAGGGTAAATTGATCTTGCTTCCGGAGCTATAGGGCAAGAAATGCCTTGCGAGTGTTATTTATGCAGTTGTCGTTTTGGTCAGAGTATTCTGTGAAATAATAATAGTCATACTGGGGAATGGTCTATAATATGCTTTGGAGTCCTCAGGAGAGATCAAACCCTTTGCGGGTTTCCGTGCAGTCTTTTGTGCCCTTTCACCATTGTGGTTAATAACAGCAACATGGGGGCAGTCTCTAACTGGTTGGAGCCTTTTCGAACTGGGCATCGGGGGGAACGCGATGATATATTTTTTGGCTCGAGAGGGATGACCTCGTCGGTCTTATTCGGTAAGTTTAAGTTGTTTAACACATACAGCCGTCGCTTTCCGCCTCCCACACCGCGTGGTGGTGGTGATGAAGATGAAGATGAAGTTGCAATAAAGCGCGTCTAGTTAGTAGTGGCAAAATTCGCGTTGCACGATTTTCTGTCGTGCCTTGCTGGGCTGGCCACTTGCGAGCAAGGACCCTCAAGTAGTAGTAGTAGTAGTAGCTCCTGTGGCCCTGTGGGCTCAGTCTTTGTAACTTAACTTTTCTGATCGCTAGCCCTTGTGCCGGTAAACGGGACGCTGCACATGTCTTCGCGCTTATCTTTGCGGATTTCAATTTCTTGAGCTGCTGACCAGAGATCCCAAATTAGGTCAAGTCTTCCGGTCGAAGGCCCGAGCTGAGGATTACACAGACCGACCATCAAGTCTTCCGATCGAAGACCCGAGCTGAGGATTACACAGACCGACCATTCCCAGCTTTTCTTGGAGAAGATGGACCAGCGACCTCGCCGACAGAAGAGAGCCAGGCCAAAGCTGGAGTCAATACAAGTGATGCTGGTACCTCAGTGCTATTTGCTTTCATCTGTCATTGATTAGACTGTGACTTATGCGCGGCGGCGGCATGTCAAGAGATCGTGTGGCCCTCTTTCTCAGTGTGCAAGTATGTAGTATATCCTTGGGCTTTTTCTGAGTGCAACCTGTATGCTGTTCGCCTTTTCTCCTGCCTACATATGTACCGTACCCTTTTCCTTCTTTGCTGTCTATACACAACTCTGATGCCATCCGCTATTAGGAAACTACCGTCTTCCCCCGAACATAACGCACCCTGATAATGAACGTATTCAAGCTAGCTTTCCAGTCTGATACGGTCAAAATGAGGGTGCGTTGTATTCAGGGGACAACGGTAGGAGCTTTTGGAGGGTGGGCATCTCTCCGGTCTTGATCTTTGCATGTTTACATATACTCAACATTTGTCCTCTGTATGACTCAACCCGCCATTTCTGTAGTCGGACGGATCAACTGTTAAAAACCACGGAGAAGGAGAGGTGGATTGGCAGGAGAGAACTGTGATATCTGAAGCCAATGTCTTTCAGGAGGCAAGGGGTTTGCTTAGCTTTGTGTTCTGCAAGATGTCAGTTCGGATTGAGCTGAACAGGCCAACAACTGTTCATGCTCTGCTCCAGAGGGGCTTTTGTTTTACGTCTCTCAAAGTAGGTTAGGCAGCGGTGATGTCACATTCGTCATGGGTGTGCACGGAGGTGTAGTTGTTTTGTGAGAGAGATCATTTTAGGAAATAAAGTCCAAGGTACAGTTTCTGCAGATGTTCCATTTAGGAAGCGTTCGTTTTCCGGATGCCAGGGAAATAACCAGACTTACGTAGGAGTTGACGTGGGGGGGGGTTATATAAGCTCCTACGAGGAGAGGGAGGGTTGGTAGTCCGTCCGTCCAACGACTGGCGGAGATTTGTACATATGTTGAGTGTTGTTACGGATTTCAAGTGCGACGTGGGGTACCCTACCCATTCTGTCGCACATGTGGTACCTGGGGTCGAAAATCCATTGGGAAGTCGGTGTATGGTTGTCTCATAAACTTCAGTACAATCTTTCTCTCCATTGTCTGGGACTTTGTAAATGATGGACTTGAAGAACACTGTACTCGGGCGCTGTGATCTGCAGATTCGTGCCGCGGTAATTTCTATTCAACTGAGTGAAAAAGTCGCAATTGATTCTCTTAATAAAACGGCGGAAGGTGTGAACTTGGTGTTCAATCGTAGGTCACTCTTATCTCATCCTGTCCTGTTGTACTGTCCTCGCCTCTCAAATTGTAATACGATTTGTTTCCACATCCTTTTCCACTCTATCCTACCCTGTCCTATCCCCCTCTTTATCCTATCCTATCCTATCCTATCCTATCCTCTCTTCGCACCTATCCTCTCCTCACCAAACCCATCTTAGCCTATCCTATCCTACGATACCCTATTTTCCTGTCCTATCGGAGACCCTCTCCTGCCCTCTCTTTTCCTGCCTAGCCTATCCTATCCTATCCTATACATTTTCCTTCCCCTTCTATAAAATCTTTCTGCTGCATCTGGATTTGAACTTGGGTCCGTATTTCGACGGTTCATTGATGTGCCAACTGAGCTAAGGCCTTTTTGGCTATCCTATCCTATCCTATCCCAGGGTTTTCGCCGCTATATGAATGCCAGCCAATGTAATAACATCTTATCACTTGTTGCCATTGGAATTACCCCACCTTGGGCGTTCATCATTGTGTCTGTGACCCCATCCTATCCTTTCTTTTTTTTTTTTTTTTGTGCCCCGATGGACCACAGATCGGATATTAAACTGATCAGAACAGATACAGCGCGCTTGATCTTACTTAGCCAAAAGGCCCCATCCTATCCTATATCCTATCCAAGAGGTTTTTTAACTTTTTTCCGTATGAATGCCAACCAAATGACATATGATGGTCAAGTTTCACTATTCGATTCAGCCCACCTTGGGCTTTCATCAGTGCGTTTGTCAACCCTATTGTCCCTAAGTCATGCTGCTCGAACAGCGGCGACATACAAGACTATTGTACGAATGCTCTCCAGACAGGAGTACATGTCACTGTCAAGAACACAAACAGTCTGGCAGAGCTATGCGCTTTTGTGGTCTCTCTCTCTCTCTCTCTCTCTCTCTCTCTCTCTCTCTCTCTCTCTCTCTCTCTCTCTCTCTCT